GACCAAGAGGGCTAAAAGGTAAAGAAGATAATTTTTCGTCAGCTGGAAAACCACCTAGTAGGTGTCAGAGCTTGATGGATGGTGTACTTATGTCACATCTCGTGGCTACCTTGGCGGTACTGTTACAACCGTCAAAAGAGGACCGAGCGCGAGGCAGTTAAATGGATGGCATGTAATTGTACGACGGTTAGCCAATACAACGATTTCAACACCGCGTGTCTACGGATCCTTCAAATAACACGGAGAATGGGTCACAACTACCATCCGGACAGTTTGTTAGTCGGCATGGCCTCTCATGTTACGTACCCGTTCAGTGCAGTTGCGGTAACGTTTATATAGGCAGAACCGACCGGTGACTGGCCAAAGGGTGGCTGAACATTTTCCAAATTTGTTGAAGCAATCCATGGCACAACATGGAGTGAATGAGCAATTGGAGAGCCGGAACCCCCCCTCGTCTATTTCAAAACAATTCGTGATGACAGGCCATCACGTGGATCTATCGAAAGCCTTCAGAGTACTGTTAATCAACCGCAACTCGGAAATGCTGGCAATCAGTGAGACATTACTAATTGCGGTAAACCAGCCGGTACTGTGCACGCAAAAGCTACTGAGGCAGTCTATCAGCTTGCCTTAGTCTTGCTTGCTCAACTTTGATTTACCCGTATAATTTCTTTCCACATACATCTATGTTAATTTTTTCCTAAGTATATTACGTTCGCGAGAGTAATCGTAAGCTTAACGAATCACAACCTTTGTCTTCTGTCCGCATTGACCAAATGGGAAAAGAGGACAATGTTTCGCAATAAAACAACGTCGAAGACGAAATGGGAAAGCAAAGAGAAGAGGAAACGATACTCACAGAAAAGGCTACGCTCGGCGACAACTTACTTGTTGACTTGCTACAGCGACGTTCTGACTCGTCACAGGCCCAACAGATTTGCGTTACTTAATGTGGACAAGTGGATACCGCGTTTAATGAGGAGTCTCCTATTTTCCAATCGTCACCATTAGATGACATCTCAAATGTTCGCAAGTGATGACCACTTCCGATGAATCCGAATGTGTATCCCACATGGCATGCAAAATTTGTCGGAACTGTGCATACCATCTCCTAAAAAGTGCTGGGTACATGTTTAGGGTCTGCCATGCTGATCTATGGTCCATGTTCCTGGAAATACCTTGACTGGGATGGCAGATGTCCTAGTTGACTAGTCAGCGCGATATACTGACTGCCTAGAAGAAACGACGTCAAATTGTCTGAAAATTCCGTCCAAAAACGATACGTGGCTTTGTAAGTGGACTCACGCAACTTTTGCTTAACGCTGGAACCATTCGAATGCGGTTACCACATACATGCTAGCAGTGTCCGCTGGGACCGTAATTGTTCCTGTTCCATCGAAAGGCTAGTTGAGCACGGTAGGCTTAAATCTGTTATTTTCTTATTCCGCCATTGCCATGACTACTTAGGCATATAACAATGAACAATAAATTCAATATTCATAAGTGTATAGTGTCGATCTTTTGAGAGCGGACATGGTATAGTAACCTTAGTGGCATTTAGCTACAGGACGGGATGACAGTACTTTGTGATTGACCTATGTGAATAGGAGTAGAAACTGCTTGGAGAAAGCACTGGCCTAGCTTGTACCGAGAATCTTGCGAGGTTTTCAGTATTTCTAAAAGACTAAGTACGAATACATCTGCATCTGCGTAATCGATGGCTCCGCATGCTATTGTGCGTGCTTTCTCTCATATCAAACACTGTAGATTTTCATATCTGATGAATCAGGACGCATGCCTCTTAAGATTTCTCTCCCACAAAGTACAGACCAGCTACCGCGATCGTAAATCTGAAAGTCCACATAGAATGAGTTTAAGAGTTATAAGAGTAGAAAGTGGCCTCAAACTGCAGTTAATAACATGTCACTATTTTGATGGCATTATGTGACCGGCTGATCCGTCTTCCCCATGATGCACATTTCTTACGTACACACCCATGAGCAAAATGGTGCACATAAGTGTCAACCTTCACAGGTGTGACAATGTTTTGCTCATAGATCTTTTCACACTATTACATAAAGTGTGATGCCCGGGAAACAACCGGTAAAGCAGTCTTATTAGAAGCAGCATGTTATGTTATACAGTACGTCCGATGCAAGAGGGTCGATGAACGCAATCCGGAATGTGAAGGGCGGTTTATGAACCGACCGCGGCTCGCTAATGGTGAATGCCGGTCAGTTACGGTAGTTGTCCCCGCCATCAAATACTTAGCAGAATGGCGTGGGTGCGCGAGTGCAGACAAATTAATTTCTCTCTAACTTTAGTGGTGAGGACATATAGCATCCTTCTCATACAAGTGGTTTAGTTCAGGCATCAGCTGAGTGCAAGCGTAAAACTGGTGAGGTATAGGCCGGCACGCCGGCAGTTCGAACGAGACAACTAAAGACAGCCACATGACACTGTCCGGCGATCGCTAGCTGTCAGCTAACCTCACTCTGAACGCTGAGCGCGGAAGGTCGTGGCAGAACGTTCATCGGCCCTCTTCCATCAGAGGTACTGTATATACATGGTAGGCAGTAAAGCAGTGTAGTTATTATTTGTCTAAAAGTTACACTAACAATAACACCATGATAATACACCTTTCTACCGAGTACGTTCCATTCCGTTCTCATATTATATTGTTTTTTTCGTTTCAGCGATTTCGTTCAACTAGAAGATGTGAATATTAAGAGATTGCATTTTTACCGCGATTCTTCCATAAATTTGTTAAACATTTGGCTTTTAACGGGAGGCTATTTCTCGATCAGTTTCAATGTTAAACTTATTCAAGCTGCCCATTTGTAAAACTTCTACGGAGGAGAAATTTCTCGAATCATGCTGCTGTCCAAAAAGCGTATCCTATGGGGATTTATCTGCAATCGCTTTTCGGTCACAGGTGTTACTCCAACGTATTTCCATGTATCTGGTAGACATCGATGCTATTATGGACAATAACATGGCTTGAGCAGATAAAGGGAACGATGAGGGACTGAATGCAACATTTATTTTCATTAAATCATTCACCAAGTCACCGAGATTTTTGCATGTGTAGCCAAAACTTTTTCCATAACGCTCATGGTTGTTAGGATTACCGACATTTCAGTGCGAAAACCGATAAGTTGTTTATCTCAGCTGGGGTTGCAGATGAATGGTACTTAATTTAAATAGCTAGATCCCAAACATATGCGCGTTCTTTGATTCCTCATCAGACGAATTCCACAGAACAGCGCGGGTCAAAATAGAAATGGATACATTATCATGTGTTTGTAGTATAACGGCCAGTGCTTTTCTTAGAAAATGCGTACGACGGACATAGCATTATCTGGAACCTCGTGATTTTATCCGATCAGCAATTTTGCCGCTTTATAGTCCTGAAAGGATATGGTGACAACTGAGCAAATTAGCTTGGTCACATATCACAGAGCTTTTCATCATTATCTAGTAAGGCGTTGTCCAAATAAACCCGTTCTTGTGTAGTACACATGTATTTTTCCTTCTTGAATAAAAATCCAAACTTTTGTGAAGACTAAACCAGAAGTCCCTTAAACTGTTCGGAACAATCACCTTAATAAACCTCATATCACTTTTATTGAGTGACCCATAAGCGACGCAGACGGGGATTAATAATACTGCATTAACATCAAGGCATGACATTAAATAAATAATTTGAAACAGACAACGAATCGTCCGAAAATACTCAGGCGTCTCCAGGTAGTACAGAAAGAAATGGGCCATAGACTTTTGTTGAAACATGGTGCACCATGTTAAGTATACTGATAACAGTTACATATATACACCACCGTTGATCCACACCAGTACTGATGGGTCAATGGTGGAAGTCATGTCTCACGGAACAGGAACTATAGATTGCAATATCCAAATTTAGCAGATTTCGGTTCAAGCAACTTTCGGTTAACACAACTCTACGCGATTCGATTATTGCACACACTACGCTAAATACATGGGTTAAACTCTATTAAAGGATGACCGCAAAGTAAAGGATGGAGTCGGTGGATGGGTACGTTGTTAACAAGATCGCTATTCCGACAATATCTAGTAGTATGGATCTTTCACGTTTTGCCCAGATTTTTCTTAATAAATCGTTTGAAATTTGCATGCCTCTATGGCCTACGCTGTAAACGCTCCAATTCTGTGCAGTATCTTGAAGATTTCACGTGCAGCCTTTGGAGCAACACAGAGTTATTGGTCTTGGTGTTGCTCTATCTCATTATAGTTTCATAATGTTAGCGACGCCCATAAATCGTAAGTTGTGTTTTCACCCGAACATTATTCTTACTTTGTCCACTGCGGACTTAACAGTTTTCGCCAGGTTTTCTGATATACCTGTAAACTAAACTATTCACAAATTCACTAGAGCTTTACTTTGACTAGCTTTGAAAATGGAGTTTGAGATACTGCGCATCTTGCGCTAAGTTATGCAAAGACGTTTCGTAATGTAACTACTCTCGTTAGGATCGATATACTTGGCTTCGACATTGTACCTTCAACAGGATGCAGATTCCTACCCGCGTATTCGAGTAAGATTTGTACGGCTAAAGACATATTTCTAGTTGTAAAATTTTGTACTTTTCCTGCATTTCATCTAAGGCATCCGCCCTGAATACTGTTAAATGCTGAAAATTTACGCACTCAGATACATACAGCTTATATTGATTGATTTGATTATGAAGCAGCTAGTGGCCAAAAGATACTCCAACCACAAACCTAATCACTGAGGAATTTTGAATGTATTACTGTCAGTCCATTTTGATTTGAATTGGGAGTGCAGCGTGAACGAAGGAAGCGCACTTTGCTTGGCAAACAATATATTCGTAGGTTTGCGAATTACTGTATAATTCTATTGCACTCCAACTGCATGCAGAATTGTATCCGGGTAAATGAACACGAACTTCAGCCCCAAAGCTATCATATTCCTCCCATCAGCTCCGTATTACAATGGGTTAAGAAATAGTTGGGGCAGTGACATCCGACGGAGTGTTTCGTCCACAGCAGTTTGCGAATGTCGAATCAGCCTGATTAGTGACAAAAAGGGCAGAGAGATAGTTTTACATTTGTCATGTACCTGCTGAATGAGTGTAAGCATGTTTCGAATCACTTGTATGACCCATTCGATTTTGCACTCGATGTGGAGTGCGCAAGTGGAGATATGTGAGTTCGGGAGCAAGCTACACATGTATGCCTTGAAGTCTCCAATGTCCTCCGAGTGTTTGTATTCAACTGTGACAAGTACATCTACCCGATGACATCTATACGGCCATCCGGCGAACTTGAAACTTTCCATGCATGCAGTTCGCATTGCCGTGACAGGATGGATGATACGGGCAGGAGGTCTCAAACGGAACACACAGTAATTGTTTAGCATAGAAAGCACAAATATGTAGGCGAATTCCTAGTCAGAGAGTGAGTTAGCCCTTGACCATTAGTTAACTTCCCACTGTGAGGTTTTATTCTGAAGTGAAGTTTAATAAAAGTAAATTGAAAAGAGGAAACTGGCTTTTTAGAGTGACGGATCATCGAAACAGGATTTGTGGGCATTCAGTCTCTCATGGAATCACCAATGGTTCTTTCTAAAACAACAATATTTCATGATACTGCGATTTTCCCGAGCTAAACTCTCTGTAAACGACTGTGCCGACGTGATTCTTTGCACGAATTAGTAAAACGCGTTTACAATCTAACACCTTAGATATGCCAAGCATTTTTGACCTCATCTTGTTCTACCGCTGCTTTTGGATCCTCCGTCAACAAATCAAATAGCTTGTTTGCACACATGTATTTGTCACGGTTGAAATAAACAAACTGTGCAGTCTTTTTTGATTCTAAGCGTAAGTGGCGACAAAGTTCACTATACCGATGTTTGTAGAATGGAATATAGTGACTACAATATGAGCGACTAGTTTTCAATTTCACTTGCTGGATTACTTTCTGATGTCAAAGTTTCCCGCTTGTTTTTGGAGGTGTGAACGGATGCGTAACTCATGAGCTGACCCACAGAACATGAGTACTGTCTATTTAATTTCCTTCTGATATCACACATGAAAAGCTCTTCTAACTTCACTGCTTTACAGGAGGAACCCATTTGTCTGGAATGACACTGCCAGTGAAAAGTTGCCCAATTCTAGCAGGCCTGACACTCTGTGACATCATGAAGGTATGTGTTGATATGTGGAAATTATTTGTCATTGATCAATCCCTAAACCACTGAATTCCAAGCCAGGCAATTCTCAGCCAGATTTGAGCTTTTGTAAAAAAATTATGACAAATGAACGTTGGCAGCATATCAGCAACTTATGCAAGTAATTTGAGGCGTGACATTGGAAGCAAATGACATGAACAGGCTTGTACAATTAGCAAGGTAACAGCATAGGAGTTCTCAGTACTTGATGCACTATGCATGATACTTTCTGACCACCCATGTATCGAACCGTATGTTCGATTATTGGTATGAACAAAATGAATATGGAAACGACACAAGTAACTGAAACACGTGTTCACCACCGTCATAATCATTAGCAAAATTGGCAAATCGGCGCCAGCAGTATGATCATATGAAGTAACAGAAATAAATAATAAGATTTAGGTAAGCGGGTGACTCAAGATAACCCAAATGACCGGAATATGCGCGCATTACTAGTCAAAAACTACCTAGCACTAATGCAGGATGAAAGCCAGCAGATTCCTAACATTACTTAACCCGAATCTTATTCAAATTTATTTGAGAGCAACATTATACATGCTTGACATGTTGCACCCAAGTGAGCGACGACATTGAAAGTGCAATCGGTTCAATTTTGGTACTCTTGTAATGCCTCGAGCTAAGCACGTGATATGTGCTGTTAACTCTAATGTGGGCGTTAAAATGAATAATATCTGATATTGGGGGTCCTTTTGAAGTACATGTTGTGTGCATGGATTGCGACATGCAAACTCAGTGTTGACTACGATTCCCATGAAGCTTTTCGACGTTATTTCCTCTCATCAGATAGAGGTAGCGGATATCGAACGCGGAACCCTTGGAATGCTAATTGTGACCGCTGCTTCTAAACCACCGGGTCAGGATGAACAACGCATGGCGCAACGGTCATTGTTCCATGTTGAGGGTCATTCTTATGTTCATGTTGTGTGAATGGATTGCGACGCGCAATCTCAATGTTGACTGCCATTCCCATTGATGTGAGACTTGGTTTTTCGATCACGAGATCCGTAGCTGATGCAAATATAAATTGGGTGTTACCTGCCTGAAAACACTACACCCTTTTGACGCGATTCGATGTCATTTCATCGCATCAGATATAGCAGATATCGAAACCGGGACCATTGCGATGTTAGTTGTGACCACTACCTACAATCCACCGCGTAACGACAGGCAGCGCTTGGCACAACCTACAAGCCACGGTCATTTTTCAACTCATTCTGTTCAATTGTTGCGCAGCGAAACCACTTTTGTAAGAGGACAACCCGTATACCTAACATACCCCAATTAGCACAACCCAACATCATCATTATACATGTTAGCGAGCAGTGGAAGACACCTCAGCTACTGTGCTACAGTGCATAAAAGAAAAAAAGAATCAATACATGCAGCAGATGCATGCCAGTTGAGCTACCGGTAACGGAGGAATATCGTTCCGGAAAGCTACCAGCCGGCTACTATGCAAAAACAAATTAGTATGTAAAATTATTTTATGCTAAGAAATGAGATCATGATTGGAGAAAAGGCTAAGCGGAATGAGGAGGGACAAAGAAACTCACAGCCTGAACACCATTGTGGTCGGCTCCTAGCCATGTTAGCAAGTGTATCCAGCCATGCGCGACCATGGTCTTTCGGAACCCAACCAGGGAGCCGAAACCCTCCAGCCAAAGCCAGCTTCGATATGAGGGCCGTCACTCCTCTCGACCAAGTCATCGCTTAGTCACTTCTCCTCTTTCTCCGTCCACACCCTGGCGCGCTAACGCTCAGCGCAGGAGTCGTTTTGCGCAACACTTGGTCGAGCCATCGGAGTCGAGTGTGTAAAATACTGGTGCTAAACGGTCCACTACCTTTCCCTGCGCTGTAAACAAAGAGTCGAACAAGCTCGTTTACTGTCGCAGTGTTCCCACCAGATGTGAGCAGAACCGTGAAGGCACCGGCGGTCAAACATAACTAGCCTACTCACAACTGCCGATTTAATGGTCCACGTTTCTCAAACGTACAGTAGGGTCGAAGGTATGACTGCATTGTACACTCTACCCTGCAGGGCGAGAGTGCTGTTGTGCCTGCGCCATTGGTGAGGAAGCTCAGTAAAGGCGTCTGGTGCTTTTGTTATACTGTTTGTGATCTCATCTTTGATCCCACAGGTGCTGATACAACTGCCCCGTTAGTTGAACTTTTGAGTGACTTCTAGCTAATATCCAAGAAGGATCAGTGCAGGAGCTGGTCTCTGCCAATCTTGGAGGGAAGCTTTGTAGT